GCCCTAATCATTTTCTGAGGGCCTGCACAATTAAAGCAGCACGAGCCATAATCATTTGGGCCCTACACACGTTAATGAAGCAGACGCGCAAAACGGCAATAAAAATCGCAATTAAGAAAAGAACGAGGGCCGCACAGCATCAGTCAAAAGTCCACGACGGCCTAGAATATTCTTCTCTTGTGGCATCGAAAGAATAATAAGAAGAAGAGAGGCTGGGCGATGATATCCCGGCCGGGTCAAGTCACGACGTAGCCGCGAGCTTTTGACTTCATTTTCGGACGCTGCATTACTTTATGTGCCAGGCATCAGCGCATTTTATCAGCAAGGTGTATTATTCGCTCTCTCGAGACAAAAGAGACTATGAAAGAGCAAGCGGCAATAAAATGAACGTGGCCCACTTGATCTTTCTCTCTCTGCAGCAAACAACAAATGCCCCCTTTTCGCCGACAATATAAAATACGCGCGCGCGCGCGCGAGTACAAGACACGATTCACATTAAAAACTGTAAGAAAATCGACTATTCATGCACGTAATAACGCGCCGAGGGAATTTGCATGTCAGTCACTGTTACGGTACATTCCCCATTCACGTACAACGTCTCGTCGTTGTTGTTGTTGTTTCTTTCCATCTCGCGTTGTGTACAATGGCCGCAGATTCAAAAGTGACATTTCATTACCGACAGTTTCGATTCCCAGAAGGCTACGCGGAGAGTTTATTGCCCAGCTCCGTCGTCAAATTACCGAAATATTCTCAAAAAGGAAAGAGACTTTGTGATCCCCGCGAGGTCCATCTTCTCACCATATGCACCGCGGGACGAGATGCACTCTTATTTCTTTTTTCTCTTTTTTTTTATACAACTGGGCCGAGAATGGGAATGGACTATTAGCACCAAATTGCTAGAAGTCATGGAGCTTAATGAAAAGAGCGAGGGAATCTCAACGCACGACTCTTCCTGGATGGGGGATAAAAGCCGCGATGCATATGAAAAGGTGTGAGTGAGAAAGACGTGTGAAAAAAACGGGCCATTTGACGTTTTGACGTGAAAAATCGCTGGAACCATTTCACAAATTAGTGACTTTAGGAGGAATATGAGAAAATAATCTTGTGAAATTTCGTGATTCATAAATAATACACGTTTTTAAAGGCAAAAAGTTTATGTCATGTGTCCAAATAATATATTAATTAAAAACATAATTAATATCCAGCCACGGTTGGGGCCAGACGATTAAATTAAGGACGTGTGTTTGCCTCTTTTAATGGTGGTTATGTATTGCCTGTTTCGCTGATTAGCATTTAACAACACCGGAATCCAGCTGGACTTCTCTCTTATATTCGTTGAGAGAGAGAGAAAAAAAAAACACGCATAAGTCAGTGACACGGCCGTGGCAGGGACGTAAACAAAAACTATAGCCGAGGAGCAAATGTAGAAACGAACGAGATAATTAATTTTGATTGGACCGATTAGATCTCGTCGGTGTTGCGTCCATAAATCACCGGATAGAGCAACAAAGCGCGCGACCGTAAGTACATGGAGACAATCGTTAAGAGCATCTCTCAGCTGACTGACCGAGACATGCACACGCACTTAATATGCAAATTTAATGGCTGCTTTTATTCGCAGCGTCTGATTGATTCCGGCGCTGCGGTGAAAAGTACATGACCGAGTAATTGTGCGATTGCCGAGCCTGTGAGTAATGAGATGGAAATGCAAGTTTTTATATGAGCTGCGGAATGATTACAATGACAAGGACATGAAAAGACTTTGTTCTAGTTAGATGATTAATAGCAAAAAAATGGTAGAACTGTAAATTTTGCTGATTTTTTTTTTAAATAATATTTCACTGCATTTATTATTTGACACTTTTGACACTTAATTTATTCCATTCTAGAAGATCCTTGAATTTGAGTATTTTTTTTTAAATTGAAATCAAATCTTTTTTGGTTCAAAAATAGTAAAAAGTAATTTGATAGCTTTAACTTAATTTAATTCTTTATTTGCATCCAAATATCTTTGATTGTAATGTATAATTATAGTTGCGCTGTATTCATGACAAGAATTAGTTATTTCATTTATCATTACAGAAAATAAATATACTTGATCAGTATATCAAACTCACTTCTCTGGTTACATAACAGCTTTGTGGTTTATACTTTCATGTATCAACTATTTTAAAAATTATTGCTAACTTTTGCATTGTGATTTGATTATTCACTGTTCATATCACACGTTGATGACTTAAATTCTCCTCTTCACCCGCTACCCTCGGGTCACTCTTTTTCTTTTGAAGAGGCAAAAAAATGCCGCATACTGCAAACCGAGATGGGAAATAAATAATCCGCTTTGGTCGGCCGGCGGTCAAGATAATTTTTTGGCATCGACGCACACACACACCCTACAGTTAAACGTGTCTGTGCGTCATTATTATTATTATGATTATTCAGATCAATCGAGTGCGCGGCGTGCGGTGGTTGATCCACCAGCAAAAGCCGCGCTCGAAAATTTATGATAATTATAGAGTAACTGTGACACAAACTCGTATCAAGTGGGGCTGCCAACGGTGCCTGTTGTAAATTAATAGCACGCAGCGCATAATCAAATTTTCAGATTGGGGAGTAAATCAATGAGAGGAGCAGCTGCGCGCTGACCCGCATTGCCTTTTTTGGTTTGAATTTTTCAGCGTTTTCCTTGTTTGCGACGTAGGACTTGCTGCCTATTAAAAAGTATTTATAGTTATCGTTTAAAATTGTAATCAGCCACCACGGTGACAAAATTAAATTAATGCACCGTAAAAATATAAAATATAATAGGGAACATGTTCAAATAGCTTATTATAAATAAAAAGTGAAGTTACATTTTTATTTTAGTTTTGTTTTTCATTGTTTCTACTCCTTAATGTGATAATTTTAAATAATTTTTAATTTTGCTTCAAAAGGCCGTTCTTTTTTCAATTTTGTGATCGATTCTTGAAATGGATTTAGCGGTCGAGTATATTTGACACACATTGCATTAGGGGAGTGTTTCTTGTTCCTTATCTGCGGCTCGCCTTTTTCCGCTTTGATCTTTTCTGAATCGCCACTGAAGCAAAAACTCAATTTTCGTCAATCGCCTTCTTGTTCGTCGGTGTGCGTTCAGGGCCCAGCGGCGACCCGCCTATATCAGGTTTGGATTTCCTTTCTATTGACTGTCAACAAAACGCTTAGACCCGGCAGATAACGATCCGAGCAACATCTTCTTCTCGTTTTACTAATTTTCTGCATAATTTGCTATGCTAAATTTATTCGTGGCTTTTTTTGCTGAATAATATTTCCCCTGCTGACCGAAGGAAGGGTTCTTTCTATCTCTGGCCATCTGTATATGTAGAGGGAACCGGTGTAACCAGTGGCAACGCACATAAAAAATGCGCCGAGCCGGGACCACCCTTTCGGCCCGGCAGCACCGGCAGCTCGTCCCTCGCTTTGCAACGGAATGATGCGTACATATAAAATATATATTAAATATTTTTAATGCCCGGCTTGTACTCTTATATACGTGTGAGTGCGGGATTCAATTTCACCAACGGGTATAGTTATCGCTCACCGAGTGCGAGGTGAGTGGCTCTGATTTCATACAAACGCACACACACACACTTGCTCCTTCTCCTGCGCAGCTCGCAAGATATATAAAATTCCGACTCGGACGGCCGATTTTGCGACAGGCGTGACACGCACACGTGGCCTTTGGGGGTCACCGCACCTGCAAAAACCTGTGAACAAAAATCACCTCTTGCAATTGAATTAAAATTAAAATTGAATTAAATTTTTTTGTATTTTATTTTGACTTGTTATGTAGAGAATAAAACAAATTGAAATTGAAATTGAAATTGAAATTGAAATTAATTTTTTTACTAGTTCCTTTCAATTGAACGTTTTTGAGACAATAGCATTTTCTAAACAAAATTTTTTTTTGCAAAAAGTGTTAACAATGAAATTGAAAAAATTCTCTAGCAAAATATTGCATGTTTTTTAAGGCCATGTTAATTTAATCTAATTTATTTTCATGCTGCGGAAAGGCTGATTGGGGAAATTTAAAATACCAATTGAAAATCGACATTAATTATTATTATTTTTTGTATTTAATTTGCAAATTATGTCACCAATGCTGCAATAAGTATTAAATTTGCTTGTTTTCTTATTGGCTAGCAAATGGCTTCCTTTTCACAAATATTTCCTGAGCATAAATTTAATGATTGAACTGTTACAAGTCATTCAGTATTCGCTGCGCCCGCAATTCACGCAATCAGAATTATTCATTTAACAAAATACAGATGCCAGGGATGAAAAGAGGATTAATGATTTATCACCTTTATACATATAACTGGTGCGAAATAAAAAACGTTCTTATCAGTGTGATTATCCGGCGTTATTATCAACCGCTGATTATAAAGTTTAGCAGACTTCTTGCGTCAAGGAATACAAAATTCAAACAAATCGTTTGAAATTCATGAAATAGCGAAGTGGAAATAGAGTCATTCAAATGCTAATACGTAAAAAGTTAAAGTTAAAGCGCAAAATGAGGTCTAAATAGATCTTATGTTGCACAACCCTATGGCACTTTTTTTTAAATATTTAAATGAGAGAGTTATTTTATAATATTTAAATTTTCATTGAAAATCGTTTTTTATACAGTAAATAAAAACAAATAGCAGTGGTAAAAATGTTTGTTGTTAAAACCAGACAGATATTATTTTTTATCAAATTTAATGAGGTTAAATGAGTGAAAGATATAAATATATAAATTGCTTGGCAAAGAATTTTAACCTCATTTATATTGCTTAATATAATCTGCTATTTAAATTAAACGCATGCAGCACTGCTTAATTTATTTCTCCTCTACCCAAAAAGTAATGAACCGGCCCGGCGATAACACTTCGATATCCAACTACTATTTTTTCTTTCAGGTAATTACTGATAATGATAATAAATCAAGTGATTGCGCTGATAAAACGTTTACGACACTTCGTGGATTTACAAGATTTTACTCACAGCTGAGCGCTGAGAGAGGCAGTTTGCTTGCCGAGCAAGTGAAAAAATGGGAAAAAACTTCAGGATTTTGATGCTGCTCTGCACAATAGCGGTTGTGTTCTACATTTCGTTTTTTCTAAAAGGTTCCGGCGATAACAGCATCAACATCGAAGCCGTCCAGGTCTACTTGCTGGACGAAGACGCAGAAGATGATCTACCGGAAGGCGAGGAGGAAAATTTGCAGTTTTTGGTTGACTTGACGCCGATGCTGGATAAACCAGTCGATTTCCAGCAAAATTACGGTGAAGACGTTATATTTTTCACCGAGACGTCCAGCACGGGACGCGTGCACGTCAGGGCAGTTTGCACCTTGGAGGCGGCATCTTCCTTGAATCCGAAAACGCAGATTTTTCTCGTCTTCTCCCAACAAGTGCAGGTCATCAGTCTCACTCGCAACCCTGCCCTGGCCGAGCTGCTGAAACGAGCGCAAAACGTGCACATGGTCACCGTCAATAATCATCAGGTAATTCCAATAACGTTTCAAATAATTTTATTTACTGGTATATTTACCGACTTTCGGAATTTTTCAAAGAGAATCTCTGGATCATATTAAATTTTTTAGGCTCACTTTTTACCAGAATTTTAAAGTTGCTTCTTTTTAGGGTCAGGCCAAGACAACGTGTCTTATCAGCCTATACCCTTATTTGACCTTGCGGAAGGCATTAAACTCAAATTTTATAAGTCTTTGGTATTTGTTTTTATTTATTTATTTTATCTTTATTATCTTCAATTAATCCATCACTATTTTATGACAATAGTTCCTTCAAATTTTAGTAGAAGCTTCAAGATAGTGAATTTTTTTACTTTTTTCCTAAGAATAAAAACCTCTCTTTGAAAATCCACTGTAATATAATTATTTAAAAAAATTTAAGTTATTGCAAATAAAAATTTTTTAATTTTAATATTATTTTTCCTACTGTTGTATTATTAAAAATTTTTAGTTGAATTCTTTTACTTAAAAACTAGCAAAATGTGACTTTTGCAATCAATCTTTTTTTTTAATTATTATAATTTTAAAAAGATTTATCAATCTTATTATAATTAAGAGCTGAAAGATACTGATATTTATTTAAGTTCAGGCTTTTAATTTATTTTTAGTCACATTTGAAAACACAAATTATTTTGCAGGTCATAAAAGACACGCCGTTGGAAGGAGTTTTCACAACTGAGCTTGCAAAGTCCCCAACCCCAAATGAGCACCTGAGCGACTTCTTGCGCCTCGGCCTCCTGTGGAAGCTGGGTGGGACCTACATGGACCTCGACCTGCTCACTTTCAAGAGCCTCCTACCGATCGTGCGTCTGAAGAATTTCCTCACCGCCGACACCGAGGACAAAATCAACACGTCCATGCTGGGTTTCCAGAGAAACCACCCTTTTTTAATGTTCATCATGGAAACGAGCCGCGAACAGTACAACCCTTTCGCGTATTCTATCGTGCCCTATTCATTCAACGTTGCGACTCGGGAATACTTCAACATGTCGGTCGGGGAAGTTTTGACGAGAGGGCAAATCTCGGACGTTTCCTTTCTGAACAAATCGGTGATAAGTCCGGTGGTTTATGACGAATCGCTGGACTTGTACAGTGGAAACAGAAAAGTTGGACTGGTGGACAAGTTGCTGGAGAATAGTTTTGGTGTTCACATGTGGGGCAGCAAGAGTTCAAAATTGAAAATGAAACTGCAATCAAAAGCGCCTTACGTTGTTTTGGCGAAGAAATTTTGTCCCCATGCCTTAAAGCATACTCCTCGATATTTTTAGCTTATAAAATACTTTTAAAAGAAAATTTCGTTAAAATATATATAAAAAAAATGAAAAAAATAATTGTTAACATGTATGAAAAATACATTTTTTAAATTGTCTACTCATTCGCTAAACAGATCGATTACCAATCAATGATTTTCATTTTGGTCTCAGTTTTATTAAACTTTTTAAATAACCAAATTTTAAAATAATTTTGTTATTTGAGACGATCCATATATCAGACTTTGGCGTTGGGTAGAGGTGTGGTGATGCTGGTGACCTCAAACGGTGGCCTAAACGACCAGGTGTGCTCAAGCAGGTTGAGAAGCGACTCTAACATCTAAATGAATTACACCTCCATTGATGGGAACGAGAAATTCGCACTCTTATCGCTTCTTAATCGTGCCTCATCATTTTTTGCTGCCACCGGTCGCTGCGTCTTCGATTCAACTTTCTGCGGAGGAATGGCCTGCTGAAGGAAATCAGATATTGATTAAGGGTCGAGGTCACCGTCTTGATTTAGGTGATCCGGGTCTGGTGATTTTTTTATGGCCCTCCTAAAAAAAGACTTAAATATTTGTTGTTAATTTTGGTACATTTTATATTGATAGAGAAATTTTGTGTATTTATTTTAAATCCATGATCCTCATTTAATTTGATATTCCATCTGAATCCTTCCAAAATATTCCGAAGAACAATCGAAAATTAATGTCAGTCTGCCGATATTTATTGCCCATTTTAATCAACAATCTCAAACCCGTAGGACTTCTCTTCTTCGACTTCCCATTCAACTTTCGGCAACGCCGCCGGTCTGCCCGGGCGATGTTATTTATTTTTAAGGACACAATGTGAATTTTACATGTAAGGCGTGTTCCCGCAAAGTCTTAAAAATCAAATTACACACACATAAAAGCAAAAATATAAACGCGCTGCTCTCGGTCCAGCAGGACGTGGCGGCGGCAGAGCTGAAAATTTATTGCCCGGCGATTTTATCAATAAAACTGCAGCAGCGTGTGTCTGCGAATTTAATACGCGCAAAACAAAAGGTCAAATTCAAATCAGGTACACACACACACACACACCATTACAACAAAGAATCGTGAAAAGCGGCTAGGCTTGACTTGAAAAAAAAAATATATATAAAACGTGGCGAGCGCGGCGTCTCATCATTATCATCATCAGAGCGCTGCAGCAACAGGTTTCTTTTTACAACTTCAATGAACAATAGGAAATAACATAACGTGGTGCCCAGTTAAGAATGGATATGTGCTGCACCGCAGAACAATGAAAGGGCTCTGTGTTCGCCCGCGTACTCACGCAAAGGAGCGATCGCCCAACTTGGAGAGATGCTCGGTTTCGAGACGAGCAGAAATGCAGCTGCGGTGCAGCGAGGGCGTGATGCAATGTAATGCGCTGCACGCTGGCTGATTCGTGCCAATTTCACTTGCTATAGAGCAATTATTGCCTTCAAACAAATAAAAAGTCAATTTGAAAGCATACCGCACTGGAATGATTGAAAAGATCAAACGAAAATTGCAGCAATATTTACAGAAAATATTGAAATTTTGAGAAAATGATAAAAAAAAAAAATGTCAAATTAACTTTTTAAGTAAAAAAAATTACAGTAATCCAATTTAGACTGGAGGATTGATAGTCTACGGATGTATAGTATACAAATGTTTATTAAAGTGTTTGATTTAAAAAAAAACTAAAAAAAAAACCAAAAATAAATATTTTAATTTAGCTTTGCTCCAATCTAATGGACAAATGTGAATAATTCCTAGCAGAGGAAATTCTGAAGCAATCTAACTCCTTTTTCCGATTGTTGAACGACTTAATTGCACAAACATACAGCTAAAAAGTTACATTAAATTGTTCACATTTTATTTTTGTTTTTTTAAAGAAATTGACACTCGAGGAGATGATCATGGAAGTGAAGCGCTTTTCCTCGTTGTAAAAATTGCTTTTATTCAAAAACAAAACGGCTCTACCAGTTTCGGTCACGGTCTGCGATCCTATTTCATGAGCAAGAAGAATAAAAAAAATCAGCAAAATTGAAAAATGTTAAAGTTTTTTTTTTTCAATTTTGCTGATTTTATTTTATTTTAATTGTACTTGCTCAGATCGTGACTGAAACTGGTAGATCCGTCTTGTTTTTCACTATAAGTAATTTTTACAACAAGGAAAAGCCCGATTTTTTCCCTTCCATATGCATTTTTTAAAATATACTATCATATTATTCTGCACTGCAGATCTTAATTGAGGAAATTGAATTGCTAATGAATTTTCCTCAAACCAAACTAGACTTGATAATTTCTAATTTTTCGCAAGTATAATCACGGCAGACGAAAATATATTACATGATTGTGTGTCAAGGTTAGAGGGTCGTGGGCCGGCTAACACGGATTTCGAATGTAGATTGTCAATTAATTTCCGCGATAATGATCTCCAATTATCTACGAAGACACTCTGGGCAACAAAAGCGGCGGCTCTTTCTTTATATGATAAATAATTGTTCCCGAAGCGAAACAGTTAGATCTCCGAGGGCGTCCCGCGCACCGCCGTAAAACAATTTTATGCACCACTTTATAACCGCAGGCGCCCTTGCAGCTGTACTTTTTCCCACGATTTATTTCGCAATATGCGCATCGCTCACAATAAAAACGCGTCTAATTATCACCGTCGTCGCTAACAAACGCATTCAGGCACACGCATATTAAGTCTTTTTATTTGTGCAGCTAGGATGTATCGGCGAATGAAAATTTATACGTTATTGTGTTCATAAGCAGAATCAACACCAACGGCCGAGCCAGCGCGCATATTACGGCGAGAGAAAGAAAGAAAAAGAAAGAGGCATACGCGCGTAATAATAAGAGAGACCTCTCGCTTATCCCTCTGAAGATACCGCCACTTTGCCTCAAAGCTATTAAAACAACATATTGATGTGATAGTACTGTTGTACTTATAGAGTCAATACGAAATTTATAGGTCCTCTTTTGCAAACAGGTGAATAAACTCTCTTCTCCCGCGCGCCCGAATCGAACGCATCTCTCTCTTTCGCATATGAGAAAAGAATTGTAATTTTTTTTCTTTCTTTCGGGGTCATCCGCTGAAAGGAATAGGGCGCAATTTCCCCAGGCGGAAAAAGTGACGTAATTGCCCGCTGATCTCACGCGCGTTTGAAAATAATAACAACAAAAACCGGCAGCGCGGCTTTTAAAGCGACCGTTTGTCCGTATTTAAATTTCCATTTGCACGTCGGCGAGAGTGTATTTGAAAAGAAGGAGGAGCACTCGAAACGCCGACGTCAGCTCCTCTCAAAAAATTATTTCGTCTCTTCAAAAAAGCAAACGGACGACGAATTTCTTTCTTTTTATCCCGCAACTACTTTAATTGCGCCAGCAGTGTTATTGGCTTGGGCAGATCCAGATGAAAATGAAACATTAAAAGCAGAGATCTCGACGTTCAAAAGGCACCGCGGCCTGTTTCCAACTACTCGGCAAGTGTCACTCAAAACGGCTTTAAAACAAATATCTGTCCCATTTATTGCACTCTTGGGATTTAAAATCACTTAAAAAGCCAGTGAGCTGAGAACATTAAGTATTATTAAAAGTGGCACTCAGTAATTAACGCGACAAAGATTCTCGAATTAAGGAAAATGATTCTATAATCTTAATAAAATTGATAAATCGTGAAGTTCTTGGATTGCAAATATAAAATTAAAAAAAATAATAGTTTAAATGTAAATTGTTTTTCAAACATGAATGTAATGATTTATATTAAGTTAATATTAACTAAATTAATTAAAAATAAATTAAAAATAAACAAATACATTTTTAAAATAATTAACAAATTTACATTAAACTGTGGCAAATAAAATTGTTTAAATTTTTAAATTTTCTTTAACAATGGAGGTAAGCAATGTGTGATCTAAAAATCTGGACAAATGAACAACAATGATATATGAGTATTATTTAATTAATACGATTAATACATCAGACTAGTTATTTCAAATTTAAAATCATTATTTTGCGAATTGGCCAAAATTTGAGTTCTTTACTCGTATATTTTTACATAAATGTACATGTTCATAAAAGTACTCTCAGAAACGAACAGATTTCTTTAAAAATCCTGTTCCACTGTTGACAGATGGTTGATTTTATTCAGTCAATGTCAGTTGTCAGTTTATTGAAAGATAAATAATTTTCCCTCTTCTTTATAAAATCCAAGAAAAGCCTGCTAATGAGAAAATCCAAATAAGGCGCGAGGCGAACAATCAACTGCTGCTCTCATAGGTGTATCATTACTGTTATTTACCTTCTTTCCAAGACCCACATAAATAAATTTCGTGCTGCATCTGTTATTTTTGGTTATTATTATTCTCCCTCAGCTCTCAAATGGCAGACGAATTCAATTTATTTGCAGTTGTGCGGAAAATTTCACATCGCTCCTAATGAACTGCGCACATGCATCTCCCATTCATTATATTGTCTTCTTTTTCCAAACCACATACATAAATATCCGAAAGCACGTCATGTGCTCGCGCGGCGCAGCCAAGCGTTTAGTATTTTGAAAGAAAATAATAATTAAACGACGTGATTGTGCCGTACTAAATGGGATCTCCGATCGGACACGAGAGAGCACAACGTGCGCTTTTCGCATCTCGCCCGCTTCATCTCTCTCTTTGTGTCGAGTCACGATTCTGCGGAAAAATGATTTCTGCGATATTTTTTTTTCTTTAGACGCTCGTCCGAGGAAGTGAAGTATGAAAATTTAATTTTGCGCTCTCGATCCTGATTTAACAAATTTGCTCAAATCAACGATTCTCGGAAGTTCTCCTAGGAGCAAATTAAATTTTTTAGGGTCTTCACCGGCACACCGGTGTGATGAATGCTCGTTTAATTACCGCGCGAAACGAGGCGGTGCCTTTGCTCTGCTTGCACGTCTATCAAATCCAAAATGGGATAGAAACTCAAGCGTTTCACCTGCGGACGGATTCACAAAACTCTCATTTGCATAGCGAAATTCAAATGCAGTCAAAATATTTACAATAACCACTGAAATTTTGGCATATACGTGATGTTTTGCATATATAATTTATGCTTAGTAATTATTAATTTTTTTTAAACTCGATAATTAAATATATTTTTAAATTAAGGGGCAGTAACAAAATCTTAAATGAATTACTTGTACGGTTAAAAGTAACTCATTAATGATAATTTAAATTCTTTCCAATCAATTCAAAAATTTTAAAATTACAACCTTCTTTTAAACTGCACAAATGACTTGTGTCTTGAAAAATTCTTAAATGTATCTGATGTAAAGGCATTTTTCATAGTGTTTTTTACGTTCAAAAAGTTAAAATAATATGATTGAGGTGACAACACAGTCCCTATACAAAATAATGCCCAACCTGTTTTCTCAGGTCCGACGCTGAAAAATATGTAAACAACATTTATGTCAACTGCTTGAACAGTAAACGAAAAAGATAAGTCGGCAGAAAAAAGCTGGAAACGCGAGTGAAATGCATTGGAAGCAAAAAAGAGTTAATCACACGGCGCCTCCCTTGGCTCAATGACCTGCGCCGCAAAAAGGCGCCGCTCTGTCGAAAGTGCATTGGCCTTGGAAAGTGCCGAAAAAACGCTCCGAGGCGACGAGCCTTATTATGGATCACTAACGAGAGAAGAATGTAATTATATCAACTAACTACTGAAGTGATTTGCTTCCTGATGATTTTGACTAGGAGCAAAGAAAGGAATGCGAATAGATTTTAAAGTTTCTGATTTATTGAGAGGTTAAAAAGTGGAAATCTCTGCATAATATAATATTAAAGAAAAGCTTAAATTTATTTTTTTGTAATGGAAAAAAGCTGATTTAAATTTGCCAGATAAAATTGAGTCAATTGAGTAATTTTAAGTTTTGACAAAGCGTAAAATTCATGAAAGAGCAAAAATAAATGTTTTTGCTTCAGAAAACCACCGTAAAGTTTTCCTATTAGAAAGAATATATTTATCAAATAAATTTAATATTAATGAAGGATATTGTCTGCATAATGGATTTTATTAAGATTTCAACTTTTTATATTTTTCTGTGCAAATAATCTGTATTTTAATCCTTTTTATTGAACTACAAAGGTGCAAATAATTGAAAGAAATGCACTAACAGTTTCGAGCAAAACGAGAGTGGCTTGTATAACGTGCAGCTTGAAGGTGACGTCATGAGGTCGCATTGGTTCACCAACAATGATCTTGCGAAGCGTAACTTTCAGATCATTTCAGATGCTGCGGGCGCTGCAGCAGATATTATTGTGTGGGAGTGAAATCGAAGCTCTCTGAAAAGCCTTGTTTTTCTTTCCTTTTGATTCAGCGATCCCAAAGTTGCGTCACGCGTTTGATGGCACGAATCGCCGAGCCGAATCAAAATTATAAAGCTACACGCCAGATAAAAGAAATGAAAATGGAGTTTGCGGGTCAGGGTAATTATTATATCAAAAGCCTCGGTCCGCCACGCGATTTTTATTTATAACGCAATCTTTGTTGGACGCACGCTGAGCATTAATGACCTGATTTCGGTGCCTCTTCTCCCTGTTGAATGCTGCTTATCAGTGAAACTAATTGAACAAATCCTAATTTTGCACTTGAAAAAATATCCAAATCTATGCAGTGAGTTTAACAAGTTAATATCTTAAAATTTGAATAAATGGTAGTTGAGCATAACATAATATAAAAATTTATTTCATTATTCTCCTTAACAATACCTAAAAATAATATTCAAACATCTTACATCAAATTAATTAATTTAAGTTATTATAATGTAAATATTTAAAAAAAGTTAAAAGTTTTTAATAAATAAACAAATAATAAAAACTCTTTATTATTTATATGGAAAATAAAGCTTACATTTTATATTAATTTTAAATTTTATTTTAATTTGTTTTAAAAAGTGGACACTTGAGAAAATAATAATGAAAATGATGAGATCGGGCTTTTTCCTCGTTACAAAACAATTTATGTTAATATTTTAAAGTCAATATTGCTATTTTTGTAATTTTTGTCTGGAGTAGTGTCGTGTTTACGTTATTTGTAAATAACTAATAATTAATTAACCCAGCTTTTTCTTTTGAACAAGCTGTTTTAACTTTTCGTTGCGCCGTGGCTAAATTTTCTTTTAAAGAGGCAGTGTTGTTATTGTTTTTACTTGCTGAGCACAAAGTGGAAAATGCATGTCTTCAAGTTCTTTGCGATTAGGGAAATTCACTCACTCTGCAGCGCAGATGTTCCGTTCAGGCTCGTTGCACCAGAGGAGCAGCGTCTCTCCTCGTTTTTTTTATACATTTTATTTTTTTACATGTCGCGACGGTCGCGGTGTGCATGTTGCTTTAAAAGTTATTTCGGTTCTCGTCGCTGCTGCTCGTGCAAGGTGGACACACACAATTAATGCTGGCGTGAGCACGTATAGGACTTCTTTCGGTCGACACTTACACACATGCACAAGCCCAGCAGCGGGAAACGAGCAAAGCCGGGTGCTACAAGATTTTAATTTGAAAGTTAAATGCGCTGTCAATTAATAGGGGGACAAAACCGTGTCGCCAGAGAGTGCGATAGCAATCGGGCCAGCAGATAATTGGACATCATTAAACGGCACTTCTTCTTGTTTGCTTCTGCTCGCGCCCCCAAAGCACGCAGCTCACAGACTGACCGTGAAAAGCTCATGAAAATTATTTTCTTTACTTAAAATGCAGCCCAAAAAAACCTGTAATAAATATAAATAAATATCAATTTATTGCCCATTTCATTATATTCAAGAAGCTATAAAGGATTTGTCGAACGTATCCCAATAATAAATTTAAAGCTATTTTAAGGCGGTTATCTTATTGTTGAAAGTGATAAACAGTTGAAACAATAACTTTTTTATGACCATTGATTACCCAAATATTCAGTACTTAATACCGATAAATCTAGACAAATATTAATCAGGAACACATAAATCAATTAAAAAAATTACTTACTTCAAAAGTGTAAAATTGCTAGATTTTTTATAATTTTTTTAATAATTAAATAAATAAAATTGTTTTTAAAAACTCTAAACAAAGAATTTGTTTACTTCTAATAATTTTAAGAAAATGATTGAGTTGTATTTGTTTATTATAAGTAATTTCCATATATATTTTTTTTAATTTCTTTTGCATTGAAATTTGGTTAGTTCAATTATAATTGTTATCGTAATGCAAAATTCATGAAAAAAGCATCTCAGAGTTCATTTTATTCACGGCCGTATCACATTTCCATTGGCTTATTGTTGCAGGTCATCCGATCAACGGGGAGTCGGGCATGATGATCAAGTCGATGGTCGATCACCACGAGCACCACCTCAACCTGCAGCCGCAGCACCACCAGCAGGTGAGTCTTTAACCTTTCCGCTCCATTCATCCGTTTCTTCCTCTCTTTCTTTATATTCCCATCGTCATCTCTCTCTCGTGATCGCATAATGGCCAAGAGAGGTTCCTCCAAGGTTTTCTTTCTCTCTCGTTCATATAATGTATATAAAATATATCGACGCTGCAGCACACGCTAGTCGTATACTATGCTATTATTATTATGTTCGTCCGTACGGAGCGACGCAGATGGAAATTTGTTCGCTGCTATTTTTCATTCCGAAGCGGTGCTCGACCCTTTTTGCACTCGACGCGCGCCGAACATCCGTGAATGACTGAACTGCGCCGTAAAAGGATTTTTTAATATTAACTGCGAGGAGGATCAGTTTTTCAAACAGTAAGATGCAAAAATATGAATATCAAAATGTTTTTGTATTTTCTTCTTCTCAAATTTGAGAAAAGGTTTTATTGAACTCAAATCAAGATCTGTATTGCTGTTTAAGTGTTTTATTTTAAGACGTTAAAGAAAAATAAATAGTTTCATCATTCATGATTTGAAAATATTATTGTTCTCAATTACTTAATGATTATAATTGGAGAAAGTAAACTTAATGAAAAATTGAAATTGTTTTGAACAGCATGATCGAAAGCAGCAGAATATATCAAAGGTAACAATAAGCAAGGATTATTATATTTAATGATTGCTCAAGGAAACTTGTAGGATTCATAAATAAGTGAAAGGGTTATCATCGGTGCGGCTCGCAGCACAATTTTCGCCAAAATTAAATCATACCACCGGAGCAGAGAAGCAGTCGATTGTTTTCATAAAAAAATTGAGCTTTTATGCCTTGTGGCTGCTTAATAAGTGTTAATAATTGCTTTTCACTGTCTTGGCTAATTTAGACTTGAAAGAGAGAATTTTGAAAGTGCGAAATAAGCCAGTGCACACGAAATAAATGACGCCAATATATATAAAAAATAAAAACAAAGGGCCGCGTTGAAATCGGGGCACCTTAGGTATGCCTCATAAAGCAGAAAAAAGAGAAATTGATTGCGCTGCACACAATTTTATTTTGCCACACTTTTGTTCCGAGCAATTCCGGCAGCTTAATTGCCGTTCTGCTCTTCACCGATAAGGTAGGTCTCTCTTCAAATTATTTAGTATCCACACTAAAAATTTGTTATCGGTATTATTCACCATACAATTGCTGTTTTCACTTTTTAAAGTTTCAATTTAAATTTATCAATCATTCAATTGTGGTGTCTTTTACTTCATGATCGCATATTTGATTTAGAACTTTCTCTATTTGAGAAAAAATCTTGATCAAAAGGTTCATGATAATCATGATTTATGTTTTAAACACTGAATTTATATTTTGCTTGTGGTGATCTCATGAAAAGATTTATGTAAAACTCTCAGAATTTATTCTGTGGATTTTTATATTTTATTTGTTCTTAAATCGTTAAAAAACACTTACATAAAAATGAAAAATTTGCTTATAAAAAATATACTTCAATATTTCTTGAAAATTCTTGCTCGGAATTAAACAGGAAAAAGTTTTATATATTTTAACAAGCCTAGCAAATCATCCATTCAATTGCAAAAATAGCATGTAAAGAACTTCCCGGGGCCTGTTGATGTGAAATTTTATGTCTCATTCAGACTTCAGATTTGAAATTTACAGCCGTGCAATAAACCCATTTCTTCTCGGTGTGGCGCATCATTTCGAAATCGCAGCCGTGCTTGAAAAAGCAAGACGCGTGTGTATAAAATAAAACAAACGGAGCATCAAAAAGTTTCACTCAATAACCGAAAATTTATTTCTCGCGGCCCCAGAAAAACGACGGCTCGAATTGTGTAAATTCCATTCACAAGCGCGCCTCCCTCTTTTTTTTTACATTCGCTAATAAAATGCCAGGAATAATTGTCTCCCTCGCATGTTACGGCGGCGTCTAATGTTACGAATGTACTCCGAGATCGTAATGCTCGCCCGCCTCTTTTTCTGAAAGGGATCCACAGCCGAGAGCACGCCACGCAATTACTTAGAACAAAAATCCGCTCTCAATAAAAACGTAAACTTCCACCGCGGGGCACATTTTTATGCGAGAATAGATTTGGTTGGGCGTATTTTTTCCTTTTAAAGAAAGGGTTGCGGTGCGTGATATCGAATGGAAACTCATGAGAGCGTAATAAATGTAAATTTTATAAATTCGTTAAATTGTTGTTTCGTTTGAATTCGGTGTGTGCGTTTAATTATTTAACAATGGGAATAATAAATTCTATCACGATAACCGACGCATAGTTTCACTTCTGGCGATCTTGTTTTTTTTTTCTTCAGAAAATTGTATACAAACGCGATGGATAAGTTTGCGCGCTTCCTTTGTTTACATGTTCAAACTCTAATCAAGATCCATCTCCTCAGGGAATTGGAAATTAAAATTATAAAGAAAAAAAGAGGCGAAAGCTGAAAATCTGGTTTGATTAGGAGCTCCAGAAATAAATTATTGAGAGTGATTTTACAAACATTCTCATAAATGAGATAATAATATGAATTTATAACATGAATAAATTAAGGTTTGAGAAAAATAGGCGCCTATATAATTGATTATTAATTTTTTTCAGCGCAAATATGTGGTAAATAGATGATTTTATAGATTTATTAGTGGATATTTTACATAATAACTATATGCATTGTGATTTGTTCTTACCCAACTTTTTTTTAAAAAAGTGATTTAAGTCAATTTCAAACATAAGAAAGGCCGAAAATGATGGTGAAAGTCCACAATGGACACAATAAACTGTGGTTTATATAAATTTTAAGTATTATAAATTTAATTTATTTATTTTTAATTATATGTTAATTGGTGAACATTCATTCCTAATGTACATTTAAATAATTTAAATTTAAATCCGAAGTGCTAACATTTTATCAACTCCTGATAATGCATTTTTTAAGCTGAGTCTTGGGAGCGATTTAGTTTTTATTTGAGAATTTATCTTGTGCGAGTATCTCGGCATTGTTGATAGGTTTATGGTCAGCCCATTATATTAATAAACGCGCGCTTTGGCGCGAGAGCGAAATTAAGATCGGTGGCCGCTGATGAAGCCTCGGCGTGTATCCTTTTCTCTTACCTAATCCTCGGTCTGAAAAATTACACAGACAACTTTTCGGGTCCGGTCAGCGGCGAATTAGCCGCGCGATTATCAGGCCGAACTAAACGCCGTGCAGCCGTGCTGGTGAGATGGAGAGATTGTTGCGTCACTTTTGCGCGCGGCCGTTTATCAAAAGTGCTCGATCTGGCATTAGGAAAATAAATTGGAATGGTTGAAAATTGACGCGCTTTCGTCCAGCGTTTGTCTTATTCAAACGAGGGAAATTTCGCCCGATAAAAATCAGTGTGAGGCGCACAACTTTCAAAAAAGGAGAAAAGAGCCAAAGGAGATTCACAACACGAAAAAAAAAACGAGGTCCGCCCGCTTTCCTCATGTTTATTCCATCGGGACACGATTTGAATTCCTGCTGCCTTCATTACCGCTAATGATATGATATAAGGTTGCATATAAATTCGGTTTGATCGCTGATTAAAATTCCTGTTGCTTTGATGGCCGCGTGTTTATTGACATTTATTGCCAAGTTCTTCTGCCGCGAATGCTGAGAATCTCTGCGTGGTCCAGATGCATCTCTCGGCACAACAGTTACACATTGTATTTGAAATTGTTGCAAATATATATTTAATGTTTAATTTTTTATAGTAAGATCTTTTTAAACTTATTATTATTTTTATTTAATCTAAAATTTTATCTTTATTTTGTTATTTTGTTAAATATAAATAAATGTTTTTTGAATTATTACAATTATAGACACTTCTAAACTATATTTGCTTATTTTAAATTAAAAGTTTGTAAAAATTTTGGTTTATAAATATTGTCGGCAATGCAAATCTTCAGTGCAGTACTCAATTAAAATTAAATGCTATGGTTTGTTTCTGGGAGTTAGAAGAAAACGATTGGTTTTTATATTTAAATGTTGTTGCGCATAATTAAACACCATAAATCATGCATAAATGTGGGACTTTTCAGTTTAAATTAAATTCCTAGAGGAAAACATGTTAATGATTTTACCACAATCAATTATAGCGATGCTTTAATAAAATCATTATTAATTATTCATAGAAATAAACCAATTGTTAAAGAAATGTCATCCTCTGCATTTGATTGGGCGTTTATATTTATTTTAAAACAAATTCAATTGAAAATAAGCTGGAAAATCCTCAATAAGCTTTAAGTGAAGAAATCAAATCAAGTTTATTATATTTTAGCTGGATCCCTTCTTCTTTAAATTTCTCTATAAATTTTTTGCCTGGTAATGATTGTGATGGATCTGTATAGAGTTTCCACCCAGCGCTCAAACGCAAACGAAACTTTGATGTTGGTTTAATTGCAAGTTTCTCATCTGAACAATCAAACGGCAGGCGAACTCCGTCAAGTGCGTCTCCTGTGTTTGTTCGCCTCATCTCGTTCTGCCGCGTGCGCGGGCGGACGGAATAATTTCACGTGTAACCCGATGTGCATGAGTCAGAATAACGAGATCAGGTGCGCTGCAGCCTTCAGGTGAGTCGCTGGTCCATGTCCGCCCCAAAGGTAGGCGCGAGTGGATTTTTATTATTTATAAACACATTTTATAATGAGTGCCAGGGCCGATAATAATCCAATCAGAACGGGCGTCACACGATGTGCATTTAAAGAAGTCTGCGTCGTCGTCGTCGCTTTTATTATTTATTTTATCGCGCTCCTTATTTTGCAAAAACTATTCTTGAATAGCATCGCAAACACGCCTCTGCGATTCACCTTGAGAATCGTAGTTCTTTTATACATGGCGAATTAATTGGTTTTGCAATTAAATCAGGTGGGCGATAGAGCGCGACTGATTCTCTATTGAAATGACTGCTTCGGAACACTTCGGAAGAGTGGCCAGAATTAAAAAAAAAATGAATATATACGTAAATAAAAAGCAGGATAATTTT